GTGGTTTTCTTGTGAGAAATGTGCCCCCACAGGTAATTGGGTATTCCTGTCTTTGATAGGTTTCCGGTGTGCGTTCATTCTGGTGCGCGGTTGTTGTTTGGTCTCTCCTACGTATTTTCCATCGGGGCATTTGGTGCATTGGATGAGATTGTATTATACTTCTGGAGGTGCAGCTGTAAGATCCAGGAATGCTGATGGCTCTGGCTCTGTTGTGGGGTATAGTAATTGTGGGGGTGGTGGAGATGTGTTGGCAGGTTTTGCATTTCTTGTCATGGCATGGTCTGGATCCTTCTGGTGTGTTCTGGGCTTGGGGAAGTTTGCTTCTGGTGATGAGGTTAGCGAGGTTCAGTGCTTGTTTGAAGGCTAGGATGGGTGGCTCTGGGAAGATCTTTTTTAGAGTAGGGTCTCTTTCTAGTATGGGTTGCAATTGTTTGAGGATTTTTCGTACAGGTTCGAGGGAGGGGTGATAGGTCGTAACCAGCGGTGTGCGATTTGTGGGGGTTTTTCTTCTGTACTAAGATAGATCGCACGTGTGAAAGAGCCACCCAGATACCACGTGAAGAACTGTTGCAGTACGAAAGAAACCCCCCCACAAATTGCACACAGCTGGTTATGAAAAAAACCATCCCCCCCATTGGCCAAGAAGGCCTGGCAGTCCTGCCCCTTCCTGGAGGTTGCCAGATGACCCAAAACCACATCTGAATTACCCTGATTAAGCCCGGGTAAGCCATTAATCCATGCATAATTAAGTGTGGATGAATGGCTTCCCAGGCTTAATTGGGATAATTAAGCCATGGTTTCAGGCCTTCCCCAAGTGGGGAGGCTGCACAAGCAGCTGGACTGTGATTCCGGGCCAGCTGGAAGGCTGCAGGTGGCTGCATGGGGGTTGGCTGAGCCCTGGCACAGCTTGTTGCTGGCGGTAGGTGCATGCGTGCAGTGAGCTGTGCTGGGGGCTCAACGGACCCTGATGCAGCTGCTGGCAGCATTGTGGCTGCCTGCCACAGTTGGCCTGGGACAGCAGTCCAGCTGCCGGGGAAGCCTGCTTTGCCCCCCCACCACTGCCAATGCTCCCTCTGTACCCCCATGCTCCAAGACTGCAGGGCTTCCTGTCCTTTTCCTTACTCGCAGATAAGTTTGGGTTTTTTATTTGTTTTTTGTTTTTTAAGCGAGTTTATTGTTTTTTTGCGGAGCCCACCTAAATTCATATTTTCCATGAAACTCAGTCACAAATTTGGTAGGTCCCTAGCTATAAGACCCCCAAGTCCTATGTGCCATTTTTCTTGGTCAGGCAGGGCTGGAGAAGACTCCATCTGAAGCCCTTTATCCCCACTTCTTATTAAGCTGTTACAGTGTGTCTAGCACCAGGCAGCAGTGGTTGTTAGAGACTAGTGCCAGGTTTCTGTTCTATGTCCTCTACCACATTGGGGAAAAGTATTATTGCCAAACTGTCCCCTCTTGATTTGGAAACTGTACTGTGACACCTCATAGTGTGTGAAAGGGAACCATTTTTTTTCATCCAGGAGCTGTCTAAAATTACAATGCCCATTGTCTTCAATGAGCCTTTGAGCTTCCTCCAGCGAATAACAGAATACATGGAACACACATACCTCATCCGTAAAGCTTGCAGTCACACGATCCCCCTGGAAAGAATGCAGGCAAGTGACTTCTTTTATCTCCTCTTCTTTCAGAAAGATTTCTCTTGTTCTTCTTGCAGCCTCTGTGTTGAGGTGGTGCTTCAGCTGAGGGGAGTAGTTGGGTTTCTTATGAGGTAGTCAGAAGAAAGGGAAGAATTGCCATACTGAACCAGGCCCATGCTCCAGCCAGTCTCTTCCCATCTCTGGCAAGGACCACACAGATGCTTTTGAGAGAGGTGAAACTACTGCTGTAGTAGGCAGTTGCATTTTTCCTGTGGGTAGAGAGGTCTCTGGCATGGTAGGAAGAGGAGGAGAGTGCCAAGCAGGACCTGAACATACCGAGGGCCACATTAGCCTTTAACTCTGCCATTATGAAACTCTCTGACCATCCCACTATTTTTACTGAATGCCAGGCTATGGATCCAAATCACATCAGAAACACCCTTGCTACCTGGGAAAGTTTTTATATTCGTAGAAGAAGAGTGCTGTGGCAGAATCAATTTTCCACGTTCCTTCCCCGAAACCTGTCCCTCCTGCTGGGGCGTAGAGTAAATATCTGGCTAAATGACTTTTATGGTGGGCCTAAACTACTGTGCACCTTGAGAGTTGCTCAGGGCTCCATTTTTACTTATGTGACTCTGCAGAGGGCAAGATGTGCTTAGTTAATTGACCATGATGAAAAAACATAGATCTGTCTGAGCTTACAAAGGTCCTTTCACCTGGCAGTGAGAGGCATGAAATGAAACAAAAGACACCTTGGTGTTGAAACATCTCTTGCAAAGCAAGTGAGCTCTTCCTAGCATCATCGAAGGTTATGTCTGACTGTTGCTAGGTAAAGCAAGATTCCTCTGTGTGTAGCTGTGTGTGTGTAGCTGTGGGGAGAAAGGGAAAGGTGGACAAAGAGAAAGGCCTGTCTTAGAGCTGGGTGAAGACTGAAACAGCAAACTGCCAGGAGAGATGACTGATTTTGGCAACTAGATACCATTGACTGTCCCTCTTAGCTATGGGTATAGCTTTACTATATATAGATCAGTGTTCCCAGTCTGAGTCTGGCTGTGGGTCTGTGTGTATTACTCTTAAGCAGTACATGGCAATCTCCACTGGCCAATTTAAGACAACACTAGCAATCCTTAAAGAGTCCAGTCTATAGCCAGAAAAGCACTGCCTACGTGGTAACAGCATGAGATTTTTTTGGGAGGGAGCCTAGACAAAAGCAGAATCCTCAGGGCTACAGGGTGAAGTTTGGAGAGTCCCTGAAGATGAGGGTAGCTAAAAATGCAATAGCGTCTGAAAACATGTTGTAAGAAACTGGAGTTTTCTCAAGACTGCATTCTCCTGTTTGTTTACAGGCTGTGGCTGCTTTTGCAGTGTCTGCTGTAGCTTCTCAGTGGGAGAGAACTGGCAAACCATTTAACCCTTTGCTAGGAGAAACCTATGAGCTTACCAGGTGATGATGAATCTTTAAATTTCGGGGCAGGCAGTATTTTTGTGTCCAGTCAACCGAGTTAACTTCCTGGCGAGCTGGAAAGTCTCATTCATTCATTTAGATTAAAAAAAAAAATGATTCTGGCCATTTGTATATCTAAAAATCCCTGCAGTTGTTAAGTTCCACTCTCAGACTCAGACTTTCTGAATTGTGCAGGGATGAATTTGTGTGCACGGTATTTATATTCTAACCGAGAACCAGTCCTTACCCCAGAGACTCTTAATTAATGTAGAGAGTGCCTTACTGATGATGTCACGATCTGAGAGTAGACTGAAATTCTTCTAGCTTCTGCTGCTTGCAATGTATTAGACTTGCATCTGGTTTCCTAACATGAGCTACTGTTGCCCAGGGAGCCTTAGACTGACCATGAGTTATCCAAGTCAAGTGATCAGAGATAAATGCCTGTACTGATGGCATCTAACTTGTGGTACAGTTTTTTGTTTGGGAAATGTGCAATGGGATTTTTTTTCTACTTAAATTTTCTGTGACTCATTAACTGGGAGAGCCATGTGACCTAGTAAAACAAGAAGTCCAGAGCTCTCACTTGGTTAAAAACCTTTAGATCTATTTTAAAAGCGTAGTCATCTCTGTATTTAGAGCTTTTTTAATACATGATTAACACTGACTGCTTACCATTTCCTTGTTTTTGTCCCTAGGGAGGATTTAGGCTTTAGGTTGATATCTGAACAGGTCAGTCATCACCCACCAGTTAGTGCATTTTATTCTGAAGGCTTCAATAAGGACTTTATTTTTCATGGATCAATTTACCCTAAGCTAAAATTCTGGGGGAAGAGTGTAGAAGCAGAGCCCCGGGGAACAATAACTTTGGAGCTTCTAAAGTAAGTGTAACCATTTTCTTTTCTATGTTGTATATGTATCTCTCAACCCAACTGAATAAAAATGTAGTTCATGCTCTGCAGATCAATTAAGACACGTCTCGACAATCCTTGGCTTCAAATAATTACAAAACTTGTCTTGGAGTGGGTGGAGACAGGCCAGCCTAGGGAACTAAGCACAGGCTATTGCTTAACAGTTAATTCCTATGCTTTGATGTTGGAAGGACAGCATGAAACTGATTGCCACAACTTGGTTTGATTCTTTTTCTGCTAATACAGTTGGCATTTCTTGAAATAAAAAGCTATTTAGAGTTGGGTGTTCTTGAATTTTGTTAGATACTTTAAAAAGGGGAACTAAAATGCTGTCATTTGGATCATCAAAGCCATGTTAAGTTCAATGGGAATTTTCATTCAAACACATGAAATTAGAAATAACTTGTCCAGAATAGATACTATTCATCATAGAAATTGTGATGAATTTGTGGAATTTACTATCTGCTGTTTGACATACGAGCCCAATAATAAAATCTGCCTGCTGCATATAGTCATACCCAGGCTGAAATGAAACCTCATTTTCCAGGTTACTTTCAGGCCTAGATCAGATTGAAAGCATCTCTCGGGAAGAAAACAATTTCATACCTTTGTTTTGTACCATGGTTACTGTAATAAAATTAAAAAGACTCTTTAACTTTTCCCCTAAGGGTTTCATAAACATACTTGCAGTAACAGCAAAAGAGAAGGTATTTTGGAACTGAGCTCTTTGAGGTGATTTCATAAGTGCCCTGAATCTGACCTGAATGAGAGGTGATTCTGAAATGTCAATAAATGTAATACTTTTTAATACTGACTAAAAACAATCCAACCAAAATAAAGGCTGGTAAGGGGGAGCATATCATTTTTCTGAATAAAGCTAGTCTCTTGCCCTTTTTATTTGAACAACCCTCACAAGATCATGCATATTACCCTAGACCATACGTGGGTAATGGGAAATATTTGACTAACTTAATTGGGATTCATTTTTGCTGTTAATTTGATGTGAATATTTGTTGAGTGATTGAAGTGTGTTTGATGCTGTGGTTCTCACATCCTGTGAGTTCATTACAAACAAATGTGTTTACTTTGAGGGTAGCCGATTTAAACACACTTGCTATTCTTGTATTTCCTCATGACTTTCAAAACATGTATAGGGCTGATAAACAGCTACCTTTTCCCAACCCACATATTACCTTACATTTCAGTTTGTAAGCCATGGATATGGGTACTGCTTCATCTTGCTATTTTTTATGATGTACAAATGGTATTATCTGGGTACATAAATACAAATTGAGACCTTCAGATAGTCTACTTTCCTGTGCTATGTTGGCCTTCTCTAAAAGAGCAACTGTTGCTGCAGGATTTAATGGGAGACATTTCTCACTAAAGGAATCAAACTTCAAGGATCTGTCTGTGCAATACTGGAAATGACAGCCCAGCCAGAGAGATTTAAGTATTTGTCCAATCCTTTCTTGACAAGGTGAAGATTAGAAAATGAGCAGTTTTAATTTTTGCTCTTAGTACCCTTATGTCAAAAAATAAAGTTTTGTGTTCTATGTTTAATTGGAATAAAAACCAAGATGCAAGTCGTATAAACTTTTCCAAGATGTCTTAATGGCTGCTCAGCACAAACGCTAAGTGCCCCATCAGTGTTGAAAAATAAGAGCGATAAAAGATGACTTCCTGGTAGAAGTATGACCTGGACCATCTCATAAAAACATGAATCCAGTTGTTGTGAGAGTAACAATTTGACCATTGTAGAAACATTCCTTTCTGGGCCTCAAGTCGGCAGCCCCTAGCTTTGTAAAATCAATGCTGAAGATCATGTTCTGATACCAGTCTATGCTGAGAGGTTCAGTTCTGCTTTGGCTGCTGTAAGTGAAGGAATCTGGGGAGAATTAAGGAGTAAATCAGTTTGTAAATATCACATTTGAAAAGCCTGCGAATAGTGTCAGGGTCTTTCAGTGATAAATTTCCGTGTCAGATAATGAGTTGGGTTGTATTAAAAGGACTGCACAGAAGGCAGGAAGTTTGTGTTTCTAAGTGTTTAGTGTGTAGAAAGGAAGAGGCAAACTGGTGACTAACTGCAAAACTGCTACTGTTTTCTCTAGCCGGTGGAGAAGGGACATCCCCAATCTCTAGCAAAGCTGGCAGTAACTAGCATCCTTTTTGGAACCTCAGCAGAGGGGTTCATATTAAATAGTCGTGAAGACAATACTACTTGTCCCAAGGGATATTTGCTCCAGGTTATGGTTGAGGCACAGTGAAAGCTCTATGGGGAGAAGCTTTTCAGTGCTTCTCTGGTGATTTGAACAGAAGCCATCCACTTTTGGGGCTGGCGGGAGGGTCAGAAGCCGCTTCTGACACGCAACACCCCTTTAAAAGTACAATTAAAATAGTGAATTCCCTCAGTGCTACTTGGGCAGTGCCTCTGAACTCAAGTGATTGAAGGGCAGGCATCTGAATTTCATAGGAAAGCAATTTCCTTTTTTTCTTTTTATTGCATATTATCTTGCACTGAACTTCAGAGAGAACACATTGTGTTGATTTATATAAAAAAGCAAATCTGTATACTTTAAAACAAAAAATGCTTAAATGACTATTGTTAACAGGAGTAGTAAATATTCTACCCCATTAGTAGAGTTAGGGTATTTAGAATTTAAAGCAGATACAAGTTATGTCTTTAGTTCAAGGAATGATTTTATTTTCTCTGCATCTGATTTCTATTCTGCTTTTTCTGATTTCTTTCACAGATATCATGAAGCGTACACATGGACAAATCCAACCTGCTGTGTACATAATGTAATTATTGGTAAATTGTGGATAGAGCAGTATGGAACAGTAGAAATCGTAAATCACAGGTAATTGCCAGTTAGGTAGTTATGAACATTGGCCTGTAGGGAAACTGGTAAGTGGCATTTGCAGATGCTTTAGACAGGAAGAATTGTGATCTCTCTGGCCTCCAAGTTTAAGATTTTTACTTGCTGTTTTTCTGCCAAACACAATAAAATTATTTATTCTTTGAACTCCTTTAAATTTATTTTTCTTGTTTCTCTTAAAACAAACTCCAAACAGTACTAACGGTATAAATGATTCTGTGAGAGGAGGGGTGGCTTCAGGAGAACAGAACCTTTCAGCACCATGTCACCTTTTCAACTTCAATAGATCAGTTGATAGTGAGTTGAAATTGCCATTTAACATCTTTGCAGTCAATTTTGTGAAAATATCAGTTGTCCACATGTCATAGGTCACCATAGCATTATGGTGACAGTGCTTGGCTTGGTTGTTTGCTGTCTTGGGCATAGAGAACATTAGAGACTGAAATACCTTGCTGCTCTTCCATGCAATCTGGCCTGTAGTTAGTAAGGCCAGCTAGGTAGTTGTTAAAATTTGCATCACTTCAGCCTATCTCTGTAGACAAAAGTCACAAGGACTGTTGATCTGGTATCTTTTTCACATTCTAAATTTACTTAGTTGCAGTCAACTAAGCCATGCATAGCCTCTACATTATGTGCGCTCCTGATATTAAAACTGCTGTTCAAAACTTCACCTGGGAGAGGTTACATATATATACAGTAATATCTGAATACAAGAAACCTACTTAATGCAGTATAGCGTGGGTCTACAAGTGAGTCTGATCCAAGAATCTTGTCCAGTGTAGCTGGGAAAGAGCATTTGATTACACACAGTTTTTAACTGTGGGCTACATTTGCTGCCTCTGTCAACTTCATTGTAATCAGTTTTATATAGTGATTTTAACCTATGTTTGTTTAACCTGTATCAACCTCATTGATTTAACTAATGTTTTATTGGTAGTAGGTAGGAAATAAGAGTTCTTAGTGACTTTGTCAGAGAATTTTAGATATACAAGGAATGCAGAAATTGCTCACTGAAATCGTCAGACGGCATTAACAGGCTCTGTGTCACCAGGCTCTGTCTGAATGAAGAATCATCTGCAAAGACTTCTAGTAACCCAGGCACTTTTTACTACCTAATTTTGAAGTGTTTTCATGAAATAACTTGGTACCTGTTTTAGTCAAGTAAATATATTAATAAACACATTTTAGATGCAGCCTTTCTGAATTGCAAACTCATTTCCTCTGCAGTACTGGAGATAAATGTATCCTTCATTTTAAACCATGTGGACTGTTTGGAAAGGAGCTTCACAGAGTGGAGGGATATGTTCAGGACAAAAAGTAAGTGAGAAGTCTCTCTTGCTTGCAGCATCTGGGCCTATAGTACTAAGAGGAAAGTATTAATTGTTGCGTGGCTACTTAGGGTTTTTTATATAGGGACAGATTTCCCATTTTCATGTATTTCTATATTCTGTATTATACTACTTTGTTTTAAGAGGAGCATTTTCTTAAGTGTTGGAAAATACTTACTGTCATTTGTACTTTTGGATATAGACAGAACTCTAGATTTAAAGGAAAGGTATACAGGGAATAATACATCTGTTGATGGCTTGTTTTCCTTAGTATTTCTTGGTAAATTTTTTAAACTGGATAGTGGAATTCTTAATATGTACTAACAATTCCCCAGACAAAACCTGTCATGGAGATCTTGATCTTTGCATTTGTAACTGTCGGCTTGATTTCTGTGTTCAGTTGAACTGCGAAGTGGAGGGTGGG